TGATAGCTCCGTTGCTGCAGCACTGCTATATAACCTTGGGTACCAGGTGATAGGTGTGACTCTTCAACTCTATGGCACCGACGGTAATGCTAACGCAAGAAAAGGTGCATGTTGTGCTGGACAGGATATTTACGACGCTAAGCGCGTGGCTGAAAGTGTTGGCTTTCCTCACTATATTTTAAACTACGAGGAAATATTCAAAAAGGAAGTAATAGAGGATTTTGCAAGTACCTATATGCGTGGGGAAACTCCCATACCATGCGTAAGATGTAACCAAACGGTAAAATTTCGTGATCTATTGCAAGTTACAAAAAATCTTGGTGCGGATGTGCTTGTAACAGGACATTACGTGAGAAGATTAGAAAAAAATGGTGAGGTAAAGTTATGCAGAAGCATTGATAAAAGTAAAGATCAAAGCTATTTTCTATTTGCTACAACAAAGGAGCAGTTGAAGCTTTTGCGATTTCCACTAGGTGGGTTCTATAAAAGTGATATAAGAAAATTAGCAAAGTATTTCAGCTTACAAATTTCTGAAAAGCCGGACAGTCAAGATATATGCTTTGTTTCCAAAAGCTATAGTAAAACAATAGCTAAATTAGCTCCACAATCTGTACAGAAAGGTAAAATAGTGGATGTTAATGGAAAAGTGCTAGGCGAGCACAGTGGCATAGTAAATTTTACAGTGGGGCAAAGAAAGGGCTTGGGTATCGCACACAATGAACCTCTTTATGTGATAAAAATTAATACAGAAAATAATGAGGTTATAGTAGGTCCGATCAACGCATTAATGCAAAAAAAAATATTGATCAAGGAGTTAAATTGGTTAGAACAACCAAAGGAAGGTATGGAAGTAACTGTGAAGCTGAGATCATCACATGCGGGAAGTTTAGCAACAATACATTCAACTGACGAAAAAAATAAAGCCTGTGTCATTTTAAACGACGATTACTTTGGCATCAGTCCAGGTCAAGCCTGTGTAGCGTATAAAGATGAGCAAGTTATCGGCGGTGGATGGATATGCTCTTAACTAAAAGCTTTAATGCAGAGTGTAAACATACAATAGACTTCTTGCATAACCATATAACAGAAACGAAAAAACTTCCTTGATAAACCTCGCCAGCCCCCTTATCATGAAACTGAAGCTATTTATTTATCTTCTCTGTACAGATTAAATGACAAAAAAACTCACGTATCTGGCGTCTCATGTTTAATTTTTTGCACTATGTGCACTCTATGTCTTTATCAAATTTCTGGGTTTTTACCTACACAAGCTGAAATACGCTTATAAAGCATTTAAAACATTAAAAAACGCCAACTTAAAAAATGGATAGTGAATAACTAGCTACCCTAGGGTTTCTTTTGCCTTTTTTTCTGTTTAGTAAATTTCTTAACGTTTATAATTTAGATTAGTTGCGGCTTAAGAGCATGTCTTCAAACTGAGTAGAAAGAAGTTAAGAAGTATGGTATAAGGTATATTTTAAGATGTACCCAAGCGATATAAGTGACAAAGAATGGAAGACAATAGAGCCATATTTTGAACCTAAAAAGACCGGCAGACCAAGAAAACATAGTATTAGAACAATTATTTAAAGCAATCCGCTATATGATGAGAACAGGGTGTCAATGGAGACAACTGCCAAGATTTTCCACCAGGAAACCATATAGTTGTAATTCGCGCTTAAAAAGGGAATATGGCAAGAAATTCATGATTTTCTAGTTAAAAAAGTAAGAGATGATTGGTAAAATAAAACCCCATCAGTAGGTATAATTGATAGCCAGTCAGTGAAAACTACTCAAAAGGGGGTCCAGAGGATATGATGCTGCAAAAATAAAGGACGAAAACGCCATATTATTGTAGATACTGTGGGTCTTGTAATTGCGGAAGTACACAGTGCAAGTATTCAAGATCTATAGGCCCTAAATCTTTTGCCCCATCAAAGTTCAACTTTGGGGAATTTTTGCGATCAGGGCATGGTAAATTACAAAACAGATGCTTATTGGAAAGGGGATGTTTATTAACGATTGCGAAAAAATAGTTGATAAAAGGTTTCAAGTTATTCCCAAACGTTGGATTGTTAAAAAGAACTTTTGCCTGGCTTTTCCAAATTTTTTGGGCCCATGAGAAAAAATTGACATTCTCCTCTCCCCCAAAAACCAAATCTTCTTTAATTTTGATCACTATTATGCTTCACAAATTTTTTTTGAGTTTGAAGACATGCTTTTGAACCTGTTTAAAATCTCGGAGAGAGAAAATAAGCATAGATTAATAATGAGGTGTTTAGGGGAAAAAGTTATCCAAGTGATATAAGTCGAGACAATTTAAAAAAAATCAGACCAATACTAGAGAGTAGCAAGAAGAAAACAAAAAAAAAACTTGATTTATATGAAGTATTTTGTGCAGTCTTATACGTACTGAAAAGTTGTTGCCAGTGGAGAATGTTGCCAAAGGATTTTCCAAAGGGGAAAAACATATAATATTTTCAAACTATAAAAAAATGGAAAAAAAGTTTACTGGAACGGTTTTTAAAAAACTAGTTGGAGGTCCGTGTTAACAACGGTAAAAAAGAAAAAACCAGTTTCTGTATAATTGATGCTCAAAATTTAAAACACGATCGCTGAAAAAAAAGGCTATGATCGGGAAAAAAAGATTTCAGGCATAAAGCGCCAATCGCAGTTGATACACGGCCCCATGCAATTCAATAACAACGGCGAAACCGTCGTAGCGTGCTGTGAAAATGGTGAAAAAATGCTAAACAAACCTCCAAGTTAAGTATATTGGTTGTGCGGCTCAAGGAGAATTTTTCAACTCAAATAAAAAAAATATCGGTAACCGTTGAAATAATAAAACAAGTGAATTACATACCTTTTTTTGTATTGCCAAAGAGATGGGTCGTTGGAAAACGCTCTTTTTCTTGGTTGGAAAAAAATGTAGGCGGTTGTGGAAAAATTGCGAACGTAAACTCAACACTAGCTTACAAATGATTGTCCTTTCCTTTATTTCTCTCCTATTACGAAGATTTTAAACAGGTTCTTAGTAAAAACAAGGAACTCAGTGTTAAGGAAGTTATAGATGAAATTTATAAAGTTATTAAAAAATCTAAGTTAAAAAAAGACTTGAGTGAAATGGCAGATGATAAAAAGTTAGATACATTTAATACCTTGATCAACCCTAGAGGAGAAAAGGTATTGAAAACAGAAAAAGATTTTGAGGATCAAATAATTAAAGATGTTAAGGATGTACTTGAGACAAGTAATATAAAAGATCCTGACTTATATAATAAAGTAATTGATTATTACTATTCTATACATCAAATAAATGTAAATAAAAACATTACATTATTATTTTCTAGTACAAAGATGTTCCAGCATTTATTTAGTACTGAGAATGATCAAATAGTAAGTATAGATTTATATTTCTTTATGTATTTTCATGTATTAGCTGGAATGCTGAGTGTAATCGAATCAGGTAAAAACGGATTGGCTGTGTATGGATTGAATGACTTTCGTATAGACAGTACTAGGTCAACTTTTCCTAATTTTTTTTATTTGGATAGTAATAGGTCAACATTACCTCCTTATTATCATTGTAAATGTGTTGAAAATTTTTATATTGATCCATCGTACCGTACACACTATGAAAATATGTCATATAATATTCCAAAAGAGTTACTCAAAAATCAAGATAGGTTTGAATTTGAAAGGATAGTAAATAGAAATGCATATTGCGTAACTAGACAAGAAACAAAATACACGGAACATAAAAACACAGTCTGTAAACTTATTTTAGGTGTATTTGTATTATCTGCTGGATTATGTGTTGCTGATTATTTCTTTATGGAGCAAAAATTGTTCAACTCAATAAAAAATGTTTTGCCACAAGACAACCTTACTAACTTGATAGTTGGTGCGGTGCTTACTATTGTAATAGTATATGCTTTATTTCAATTATCACAGAAACCACCACTTTCAACAGTCAATGAGATGACGAATGAAAATTTGAACAGCTCCATGCAAAACAAGCTTAGAACTACATAAATGTAGCAACTTAAAAGCACATATTGTATAATGCTTATTCTTAAGTTAAGAGGTGATTTATGGATTTAAGTAAAATAACAGCGGTACCAAATGCGGTGAATGTGGTAATTGAAATAAGTGCAAATGCTGAGCCTGTAAAGTATGAATTTAATAAAGAGCTTGGGTTGTTACAAGTTGACAGATTTTTGTCTACCTCAATGACTTATCCTTGCAATTATGGGTTTATACCAAATACCTGCGCAGGTGATGGTGATCCTGTGGATGTTTTGGTGCTAACTCAATTTCCCTTAGCATCTAGTGTTTTAATATCGGTGCGTCCGATAGGCGCATTACTCACTAAAGATGAAAAAGGAGAAGATGAGAAGATATTAGCTGTGCCTGTTTCCAGTGTTGATAGCTATTATGACAATATAAAGGATTATTCTGACTTATCTAAAAACCTACTAGATAAAATTACTCATTTCTTTTCTCATTATAAAGATCTAGAAAAGGGAAAAACGGTAACAGTTGGAGAATGGGTTGGTGTAGAAGAAGCAAAGAAAATCATTGAAAAAAGCAGAAATTAGTTTTTATTAATTTATAGCTAAAGTGGCTTAGGTTTGCCCACAATTTGAAAAACAACAAATTCGTCATTCCGCTACTTGTTAGCGGAATCTATACCGCGCACAACTGTACGAACATTGCAATATGGCACATAGTAAACGATGTCATTCCAGTGCGTGACACTGGAATCCAGACTTTCCGTAAAAACGTTATATTTTAACATAACACTTATATGCTCACCAACTTAGTGCTAATCAAAATCCTGGATCCCAGTGTCTGGGCACTGGGATGACAAGAAAGGGAGCACTGGAATTTTTGTTTCAGCATTAGCCATGCATCTGAACAGATACAAATATTGCAATTAAAAGCATTAGACAGGTGGTAGAGGTCTTGGTATTATATAATCTTTAGGTTCTAAATTTGGAAGGGTGGCCGAGCGGCTGAAGGCGGCGGTTTGCTAAACCGTTATACGACCCAAAAGTCGTATCGAGGGTTCGAATCCCTCTCCTTCCGTATACTGTTTTAGCACGGTCTGAATTCGCTATATTGGCATGTTTTTAGCCTGTTTACCTGATCTTATTGCAATAGTTTTTATTTCCGTCTTTAGCGTATCCGTTCAGCGGAGTGGCAGAATAAGATAGACAAGGTGATCTAAAAAGATAATCATAGAGCAAAAGTGAGGTAATGTGGTAGCGCTTTAGAACTGTGCAAAATTTACAGCAAAAATAGAAAAGTTAAAACTTAAAAATAGAAAGGTTGGAAAGAGAATATGAAAGTCCTAAAGAAGCAGAGAACCAAGGCTTTGAAGATGAAAACGCTGAGTTAAGAGAGAAGGCTTGGTTTAAGCTCCAAAAATTCATCGATACCAAGTTCCAAAAGTTGTATAAAATAAAAAGAATAAGCCAGCGAAAGGAACTTATTGGCGGTCAGGTTGTGAAAGGTCATAAAAGGGAAGTTTTCGCGCCAACATGGATGCAGATGAGGTGATAAAAGTAGAGTTGTCATCTACTTGCGAAGATGTGGAGGGGAAGATTGCAATATGCAAAAACCGTATATTCACCAAAAGTTGATCTTCCGGAAATTAAGCCTTATGTAGTAGAGTATCAGCTAGAGCATGGCCGTTTGTCGGAAGTGCGGAAAAAGCAGCAAATTACCAGAAGGTGTTACATCAGATACATTTGGACCAAGGGTTAAGTCAATAATCGCAGCGTTCAGCGGGTTTTACAAAATTCAAAACGCGAAATAGCGAGTGTCGTAAATGATATCTTCAATTTGAACTTTATAAGTGTCGGTAGCATATCAAATAGTAGACACAGAATCGCATCAAAATGCAAAAGAGTATGAAAGGCAAATCGAGCAAGAAATAAGAGGAGAAGTAAGGTTTTTGCACATCGATGGGGAAACTAGCCACTACAGTAAGGTAAACTTGGTTGGTGTTGGATGTTTTATGAGAGTAATACAGCAAGTTTATAAAGTTGACAGAGTCAAGGGAATGAAGGTTTTACAAAATAGTAAGTTTGCAATCGCAATAGCTTAGTAGTAACCGACAGGTACACTTATACAACTTCACTTTGCCGATAAAACAGGCAAATCTGTTGGGCACATTTATCAAAGAGATTTTTGAAAGGTTGGAGTGCATAGTTGGAACATTGAAGTTAAAGTTCTGGGCTGTTACTTAGAAACGTAGCCACTGGATTATTTGCATTAAAAAAGGCCTTGCTAAAATGAGATAGATGTTTTTTAAGATTTACCAGACATGCCAAAGTTGCGAAAACGTACAGGTATTACTTGAAGGAGATATTCACCCTACCTGAAGCAATAGGAGCTTCTCGAGTTGCAAAAATATTTTTGAAATCTGAAAGAATGATGTAGATTTTAGAACCTGTTAAAATCTTCGTAATAGGAAAGAAATAAAGGAAAGGACAATCATTTGTAGTATCCGTTCAGCGGAGCGACTTGAAAATGTGAACAAGCAAAATTGATAGAACCTGTTTAAAATCTTCGTAATGGGAGAAAAGGAAAAGGACAACCATTTGTAAAGCTAGTGTTGAGTTTACGTTCGCAATTTTTCCACAACCGCCTACACTTTTTCCAACCAAGCAAAAGAGCCACGTTCAACGACCCACCTCTTTGGTAATACAACAAAGGTATGTAATTCACTTCGTTTTATTACTTCAATATGGATTGCACCGATAGTACGTTTTTATTTGAGTTGCAAAATTTTCTCCTGTGTAGCCAGCATCAACCAATATGTTTTAACTTCAGAGAGAGGTTTTCTTTAGCAGCATTTCGACCATTCTCACAGCGCTACTACGGTCAGTTATCTCTCTCTGCTGTTGTTATATGAATTGCATGCGGCAAACTAGCGAGTATCTACTGCAATATGACGCTGAAATCTTTTTACCTCCATCATAGCCCTTTTTTCTCAGCAGTATCTGCATTTTGCACACTCTGAGCATCAATTATACAGAAACTGTTTTCTCTTTTCCGACCATTGTTTATACGGACCTCTCCAACTAATTTTTTTAAGACTAACTCTAGCAGGCTTGGCTCTTCTCCATTCTTTTATTCATATTTGAAAATAGTAATACACGTTTTCCCACTTTGGAAACTCTTTTTAGCAGCATTCTCCACTGGCGAGGCGCTTTTTAGGACGTCCACAAAATACATCATACAAATCAAGTTCCTCTTGGTCTTGTTTTCTTTCTGCTACTTTCAAGTGGTCTGATTTTTCAAATTGTTCTCGACACTTATCGCTTGGATAACGCATGGAGCACCTCTCATTATTAATCTATGCCTACTTTACCTCATCTCTTCGAGATTTTAAACAGAGTTCTTAGAATAAAACAGGCTAAATAGGTATTTGTTATAATGTAGTTGGTTTTAATAATTTATATAGTTTGAGGCGAAAAATGGATCATTTTAAGGTATCCGTTCAGCGAATTAGCAGAATAAGATAGACAAGGTGATCTAAAAAGATAATCATAGAGCAAAGTGAGGTAATGTGGTAAAACCTTTTTTAGAGCATGTCTTCAAACTCAAGAATGAGCTAATTTGTGAGAAGCATAATAGTGATCATATTAAGAAGATATTGGTTTTTGAGGTGAGAGAGGAGAATGTAAATAATCTTTACTCATGCGCCTAAAATTGGAAAGCCGGAGGCAAAAGTTCTTTCAACAATCCAACGTTTAGGGAACCAACTTGAAATCATAGTATCAACTATTTTTCTTCATAATCGTTAATAAACATCCCGTTTCCAATAAGCATCTGTTTGTAATTTACCTATGTACCTTGATCAGCAAAAAACTTGCAGCCAAAGTTGGAACTTTACTGCATTTAACGGGCAAAAAGATTTAGAGAGCACTATCACGATCTTGAATAGCACTTATTGTACTTCAGCAGCAATTACAAGACCCACAGTATCTACAATAATATGGCGTTTTTCTGCGCTTTATTTTTGCCAACATCATATCCTCTGGATCCCCTTTTGAGTAGTTTTCACTGACTGGCTATCAATTATACTACCTACTGATGGGGTTTTTATTTTTTACCAATCATCTCTCTTACTTTTAACTAGAAATCATGAATTCTTGCCATATTCCACTTTTTGCGCAATTACAACTATACGGTTTTCCATGGTGGAAAATCTTTTGAGCAGTTGTCTCCATTGACACCCTGTTCTCATCATATAGCGGTTGCGTTAATAATTGTTCTAATACTATGTTTTCTTGGTCTGCCGGTCTTTTAGGTTCAAAATATGGCTCTATTGTCTTCCATTCTTTTGTCACTTATATCGCTTGGAATTGCATCTTAAAATATACCTTATACCATACTTCTTGCTTCTTTCTACTCAGTTTGAAGACATGCTCTTAGAACTGTGCAAAAAGAAATTACAGCAAAAATAGAAAAGTTAGAAGCAAAAATAGAAGGTTGGAAAGAGAATGAAAATCTAAAAGCAGAGAACAAGGCTTTGAAGATAGAAAACGCTGAGTTAAGAAGGCTTGGTTTTAAGCTCAAAAAATTCATCGATACCAAGTTCCAAAGAGTTGTATAAAATAAAGAATAATCGAAAAGCGAAAGGAACATTGGCGTCAGGTTGGTCATAAAGGAAGTTTCCGCGCCAACATGGATGCAGATGAGGTGATAAAGTAGAGTTGTCATCTACTTGCGAATGTGGAGGAAGATTTGCAATATGCAAAAACCGTATATTCACCAAAAAGTTGATCTTCCGGAAATTAAGCCTTATGTAGTAGAGTATCAACTAGAGCATGGCCGTTGTCGGAAGTGCGGAAAAGAAGAAGCGGCAAATTACCAGAAGGTGTTACATCAGATACATTTTGGACCAGGGTTAAGTCAATAATCACGGCGTTCAGCGGGTTTTACAAAAATTCAAAACGCGAAATAGCGAGTGTCGTAAATGATATCTTCGAATTTGAACATAAGTGTCGTAGCATATTATCAAATAGTGAACACACAGAATCGCATCAAAAATGCAAAAAAGAGTATGAAACAAATCGAGCAAGAAATAAGAGGGAGAAGTAAGGTTTTGCACATCGATGAAACTAGCCACTACAGTAAAGGAAGTAAACTTGGTTGAGGTGTTGGATGTTTACCAGTAATACAACAAAGTTTTATAAAGTTGACAGAGTCAAAGGAAGGAATGAGTTTTACAAAATAGTAAGTTCTGCAATCGCAATAGCAGTAGTAACCGACAGGTACGCAGCATACAACTACTTTGCCGATAAAACAGGCAAATCTGGTGGAGCACATTTATCGAGATTTTGAAAGGTTAGTGCATAGTTGGAACATTGAAGTTAAAGTTTCTAGGCTGTTACTTAGAAACGTAGCCACTGAATTATTTGCATTAAAAAGGCCTTGCTAAAAATGAGATAGATGTTTTAGATTTACCAGACATGCCAGAAAGTTGCGAAAACGTACAAGGTATTACTTGAAGGAGATATTCCACCTACCTGAAGCAATAGGAGCTTCTCGAGTTGCAAAAATATTTTGAAATCTGAAAGAATGATGTGGAATTTTTTAGATGACCCAGAAAACATTCCGCTGACAAACAACCATGCTGAACGGCAAATTCGACATTATGTCGTTTACCGTAAAAATTCATATTTTACACAATCACAGCGAGGAAACACATTCCTCGAACGGATAATTTCATTATACTTAACATGGAAACAAAAGGGGCTAAACCCTTTCCAAAATCTCCTATCTATTGTTTCTTAAACCACTCTGCTGAACGGATACAACATTTTAGCTAAGGTTAGTTGCACTTAAAAGCAGCTAAATTGCAGTGTTTAAGACTTAAAAAACGCCAAATACTGAAAATAGACAATGACCAGGGGTTCCTTTTGCCTTTTTTTTCGTTTGGTAAATTTCTTAATATTGATAGCTAAAAGAGCCCAAGAGAGGTCAGTGCCCCTTTTTTTGTCATCCGAGTAGCTGACACTGGGATGACACCATTCTTTCTTCTGGATCCAAGTAGTCAAGGCACTGGGATG